CTGAACTCTCTGTAGATACAAAGAATTTAAGGTTTGTTACATAGTGAGGTTAAGAGATCTTTGGAAATGCTGGTCCTTTTGTGCTGTCTGAGCTGTGAATGCTATGTTTCTGCTGGAAAGGACAGCAGGAAAGTTTGAGGCATAATCAGAATCAGAGTTTGACTATAGTTTTCCCAAGTGTAGAAAACCTAAATTTACTACTTGAATCTACACCTTAACCACCAAAGGTGAGTAAGACTCGAATGACAAAAATCTTCCTTTGTGAGAGTTTGTTGCTTTGCAGGGCTTTGGTGAGACCACATAATTTAATGTACATGAAAAAATTTTGGAACACAATATTGGCTCATAAATGCGTAAAGTTTCCTCAGAAAAGTTACTAAAATTATTATTTTATAAGTTCTCCAGATTGTATTCAATTGCTAACAATTTCCTGAGAGTGCCATTATTCCCCCTAAACAATTTATGTTCTCTTTCTCCTTCAGGCTGAAATTGCAGAGGAAGGAAAAAAACACATGCTGTCTTTAATGAAATTATCTGTTAATTTATGAATATCTCACAGAGCTCTTCTAGCTTATTGATATAAATCTCAAATACGGTTTCACACACATAAACAAGCAAATTCAATATGGTGTTTAAAGAAGACCCAAGGAAACTTAGATCTGAAGAATTACTAAATTGCACATTTTTAGTCTACAAATTATATGGGGAAGTAGTTTGCTGTAAAACAGAATTCAGTTTCTTTATTAATATTCCAACATCTTCATCAAATAAATAAATGTACACAATTGTTAAAGACAGTGCCATGAAGACATGATTTAAATAACTTACATAGTTTATAAAACTTTCCAGATATTCTTCTCCATTAACGATTGTCATAAGCATACAGGATCACCAAATTGCTCAAGCTATAATGAGAATATTTTACAATTTCATATTGAAATTATGATACAATGCTGTTTTTTAAAAGTAAGAACTAAAGAATGCCTACCAGATATTTACATTGACCACTATATGAATAGGATTATATATGAATAGTCCTAGTGTGGCATGGAGTCCTGGTGTGACACTGTAGGTTAATGCACTGGACTGCAAAGTTAATTTTATCCTCAATGTCAGTGGTTCAAGCTCATCAGCTGCTCCTCGGAAACCCTATACAGGGTCACTATGGGTCAGAAGAAACTGGAAAGCCTTTAACAACAACAACAACACATATGTTCTATATTATTTTTTCCTGAAATTTAGATCATCTCATTGCATAAGTAGGATTATAATATGTGAAAGTAATTTGTACATACTGGCTAAGTATCTATCGTATTTTTTAACATATATGTATATATAAACATATAGTATTTTTGACATAATCAAATTTGTCAAATGTATTTTATGATCTACAAAGGAGTTAGTCTTTGATTTCAATACTTTGCATTGCTACTCTCTCTGTAATAAAACAAACAAATGTCATAATTAAGTTTCTCTACTTTGGAAAAAGGAGCTCTGGTAGCGTTGTGGTTTCTAATCGGGCTATGAACCGCAAGGTCAGCGAAACAACCAGCTGTTCCACGGAAGAAAGATGAAACTTTTTGCTACCGTAAAGATTTACGGCTTGGAAATCCTGTACAGGGTCGCTGTGAGTCGGAACCAACTCCACGGCACATAACAACAACAACAACTTTGGAAAGGATTGAATTATTAGGAACAGTGAACCTAAATTTAGTATAGGGAAAGGATTTCAAACTACATTTTAAATCATAAATAGCATTATGCTAGAGAAAAGTAACACAAAACATTAAGGTAACACAAAGCAGTAAGGTATAACTTAGAGATTCATTTTCAGACATATGTATCCTTGGTGGGAGTATCAAACACTGCAAAGTTTTGTTCAAATTAAATCTGTATGGCGTTTTTTTTTTTAAAAAAAAAAACTGTTAGTATCCTTCCATTTATGCCATTTACCTTAGGGGTTTTCAGGAGAAAAAAGGAAATAGTTGAATTTCTTAACATACATAAAAGATTCTACCAACATAGTCCTTGTTGGCATTGTAGGACAAGTACTGGACAGAAAGGTCAGTTTAAATCACAAGGCTGAAGTTTCAAACCAACCAGTCACTTCTCAGAAACACTATTGTTATCATTGTTGTTAGGTGCCATCCATACGCTACCGAAACATAGTGACGCTATGCACAAAAAAACACACTGCCTGGGTCCTGGGCCAACCTCAAAATTGTTGCCACACTTGAACCCATTGATGCTGCCACTTTGCCAATCCATCTCACTGGGGGTCTCCCTCTTTTTCTTTCACCTTCCACCTTGTTGTTGTTGTTGATATGTGCCGTGGAGTCAGTTCCGACTCATAGCGACCCTGTACAGGGTTTCCGAGGCTGTAAATCTTTACGGGAGCAGAAAGCCTCATCTTTCTCCCGCAGAACAGCTGGTAGTTTCGAACTGCTGACCTTGCGGTTCGCAGCCCAATTCGTAACCACTACGCTACCAGACCTTCCACCTTACCAAACATAATATCCCTTTCCAGTGACTAGTCCTTGCTGACAATATGTCCGAAGTATAAGAGATGAAGTTTGGCCATCCTGGCTTCCATCTGGCTGCATTTGCTCCAATACAGATCTGTTGGTTCTTTCAACAGCCCGTGGTACTTTCAGTATTCTCCTTCAACACCATAATGCAAATGCATCAATTCTTCTACTGTCTTCCTTATTGACTATCCAGCTTTCACATGCATATGAGGTTATTGAAAATACAATGACTTGGGGGCAGGTACACCTTAGTCTTCAAGCTGACATCTTTGCTCTTCAACACTTTAAAAAGGTCTTGTGCCGCAGATTTGCATAATGCAATGCGTTGTTTGATTTCTTGACTGCTGCTTCCTTGACTGTTGATAGATGATGCAAGAAGAATGAAGTCCTTGCCAATTTTAATCTTCTCTCCATTGATAAGAATGTTGTTTATTGGTCTAGTGGTGAGGACATTTGTTTTCTTTACATTGAGATGCAATACATACTGAAAGCTGTGGTCTTTGAAATTCATCAGTGAGTATTTTAAGTTCTCTTCATTTCAGCAAACAAGGCTGCATCATCTGCATATCACAGGTTGTTAATGAGTCTTCCTCCAATCCTGATGCAATGTTTTTCTTCATAGAGCCCAGCTTCTCAGATTAGTTGTTCAGCATACGGGTTGAATAAGTATGGTGAAAGAATACAACCCTGTCATAAACCATACTTAATTTTAAGCTGTTCAATATTCCCATGTTCTGTTCTAACAACTGCCTCTTGGTCCATGGACAGATTCCTCATGAGCACAATTAAGTATTCAGGAATACTCATGCTTCACAATGTTGTCTATAGTTTGCCATGATTCACACAACTGAAAGCCTTTGTGTAGTCAATAAAGCACAGGTAGACAGCTTTCTGGTATTCCCAGCTTTCAGCCAAGATCCATCAGGCATCTCTCCCTAGTACTCTGAACTTACATGAGGTCATGAAAACATGGAAATGAAATATAATGGTAACTTTCTGCTAGCATTTTGAAGCCTTCTTTTACATTTCAGGCTCTGGCCACTGTGACTGTGATAGGCTGAGTAGTTCACATTGCTCTTTTGCTCACTATCAACACACATTGCAGCAAAGCTTTTATTGATCAGAGAATGGGACTCTATTTTGTCCTCCAAATGTTTATCCCATTTACTTAAACATTTTCTTTTGTGGAAAAGCAAAATAATGTATTGCCCCCCCTTCAAAAAAAAGAAGGCTCTTGCCCACTCCTTGCAGACTGACAGAAAATCATTCTTAAAAGAGAAAAGGATACCATGTTCTTCTTTTATAAATATTGCAATGGGTGTCTTCATTAAATGAGGTAAGATTCAGGAGCTTGGTCTGAGGTTAAGAAGTTCAAATATAGCTTCTTAAACCCTTTTCTGTAGCTACAAAGTGGTGCAAATGGGTAATGCACTTGCTTCTAATCAAAAGGCTTGAGGTTCAAGTCACGCAGAGGCTCCTTGTAAGAATGGACTGAAAAAAAAATTCTTCTAAATATACTTCAACCGTAGAAATCTTGAGCAAATTTCTACTCTGATACACATGGGATAACCAGGAGTCAGAATAACCTGAACAGCAACTAGGTATGGTTTTAAACTCTTCTCTGCATTATAGTATACAGGTACACCACAGGGTGAGAGTGTTCATTCCTTACTGTCTTTCACTGAGTTAGTGAGACATAAGAGGAAGGTGGTAAGGATTGGAGAAACACTGAGGATAGAAAATATATTACTATTCAGAGCATCAACCAGGCATTATTCTAGGAGGAAATGATGAATAAATAAATTCCCAATAACCAGGGATGATAAATTTTAGAAACAGAAATGTGGTTTTGTTTGTTTGTTTGTTCTCCTCTCAGGCTCTCTATTGACTACATAACGATAGCTAATCCAGCACATTCATATCAACTTCAGTTTTCTTGTTTGTAAAATAAAGAGACTACTTATTTGAATTGGTTTCTATGATAGTTGGAGGATGGAGAAACCATAAATGCACTAGAAACAATCACAAAATTTATTGTGATTAGGTAGGTGACACAAAGTGGTTAGATATAATAGAAAGATCAATTTTCAGGCATTTGCTCTGTCCATGGAGAAATTGCCAAGCTCTGCTGACTTGCTGATATTGAATTGAAAAAGTTTGATATTATATATATCCCCTGTATAGCATAGTAGTTAGTAGTTACGAATCGGGCTGTGAGCCTCAAGGTCAGCAGTTTGAAACTACCATCTGTGGGAGAAATATGAGGTTTTCTGCTCCTGTAAAGATTTATAGCCTCGGAAACCCTGTTCAGGTTCACTATGGGTCAGAACCAACTCTACGGCACGTAACAACAACAGCATATATATCTTAGGTTGAAGATAATGTTTCATAAGTGAATCAAGTACATGTTGCTTAATTAATATATAAGCTTCTATAATTTTTGGTACTTCCAGATAAGTTAAAATAAACATCATGACATGGGGAAATGAGACCTACTACTTTGAATTCATCCTTTTGGGAATTTTCAGTCACAGTCCGCCCCACATCTTCCTCTTCTCTCTTGTCCTGGGGATCTTCATAATAGCCTTCCTGGAAAACACTACAATGGTTCTTATCATTTACCTGGACACCCAACTCCACACCCCCATGTACTTCCTCCTCAGCCAACTCTCCATTATGGACCTGATGCTCATTTGTACTACAGTACCCAAGATGGCCTTCAACTACTTGTCTGGAAGGAAATCTATTTCTTTTGCTGGTTGTGGAACACAGATATTCTTTTATGTGTCCCTGCTTGGATCTGAATGTTTCTTGCTGGCTGTCATGTCCTATGACCGTTATGTGGCTATATGCCACCCTCTTCGATACACCATCCTCATGAATCAGAAACTCTGCATGATTTTGACTGTTGCTTCCTGGATTCTTGGCTCTCTTGATGGCATCATTGTGCTTGCAGCTGCCTTGTCCTTCTCTTACTGTAGCTCTCTGGAAATCCATCATTTTTTGTGTGATGTTGCTGCCCTTATACCACTGTCATGCACAGACACCTCTGTATTTGAAAGATTACTTTTCATTTGCTGTGTGGTAATGTTAATCCTGCCAGTCTCTGTTATCAGCATTTCTTATTACCACGTCCTTCGAGCTGTCATCCGCATGAGCTCTGAGGAAAGTCGCCGCAAGGCTTTCACCACCTGTTCTTCTCACTTGGCTGTGGTTGGACTCTATTATGGTGCCGCCATGTTCATGTACATGAGACCATCCTCCAACCATACACCAAACCAGGACAAGATGGTGTCAGCTTTCTATACCATCTTAACACCCATGCTGAACCCCCTCATTTATAGCCTCCGCAACAAAGAAGTATACCGGGGACTGAAAAAGTTATTGAAGAAAGGAAAGTTAATGTAATGTTTTCAAGCATCTCTTACATTCCTGTCCTGGGTTTTAGTATATTCATAGAAGTGCACAATCATAAGTACTGTCTAATTCCAGAGCATTTCCATCATACCAAAATTACATATAATACTCATTAGCAATAAAACCTTAGTATTTGATGCTCATTAATCTACTTTTTATACCTATGGATTTGCCTATTAGGGAAATTTTATATAATGGTAATCATAGACTGTGTAGTTTTGTGTTACTGGTGTTCATTTAAATTCACTTGTGTTAACTTACACATTTTTCAAAGCTCATTCATGTTGACGAATGTGTCAATACTATATTACTTTATAGAGTTGATTAATGGAGTCCCAGGGTGGTGTTGTAGGACAAGCATTGCTCTAACAATTTCAATCTAACTGCATGATTGGTGGTTCAAACCCACCCTCCACTCCTTGGAAACCCTATACAGGATTGCTGTGAGCCAAACCAATTCAACAGTACTTAAAACCAATATAATTGATTAATACTTCATTCCAATATTATACCACATTTTACTTATTCATTCACTTATCAATGATTCAAATTTTTGGCTATTTTGAAAAATGCTGCTATAAACATTGGTGTGTAGGTATCTATTGCAGTTTCTTTTTTCAAATATCTTGGATGCAGCACTATTGACAACCACTAATTTTTCAGTTTGCTGTACTTTGGTGGCTTCTGTGTGGCTATGATATGGGTAACAATGTCACTAGTATTCCAAATGCCAGGAGAATCACATATGGTATACAAGTTTCAGTGGAGGTTCTAGACCAAGGCAGACTAGGAAATGAACCCGGCATTCTAATTCTAAAGAAAATTGCCAGTATAAACCTGATAAACAGAACATTGTGTGATACAGTGATGGAAGATGAGGTCCTCGGGTTGGAAAGTATTTAAGATATGAGTGGCTAAGTGTTGCCACTTTAAAGTCAACCTTAATCATGTGTTTGCAGTAAAGAACATCTTTGAGGATCTTCTTTTTCTGATGTGGCATGACTAAATGTGAAATGAAACAGCTACAAACATCTTTGACCATTTTGAATCATATGGTCTGCTAGTCTAGGAATGCCAAGTTGATGAACACTCATTCAACATCAAAAAAAAAAACAAAAAAAAACACTTGAAGATCTATCCTGATGTACAATATTGTTCATGATTGGAACATAATATCCCAACAGAGAAGATGTCAGGGTGGCATGATATTGTCTCTCAAACTTTGGACATGCTGTCAAGAATTAGTCCCTAGAGAAAGACATCATGCTTGATAAAATGTAGTGTCAACGAAAAAGAGAAGACACTTAATAATATGGATTGACACAATGGCTGCAATAATGAGTTCAAACATAACAAAAATTGTGAGATTAGCACATGATTGGGCAGTATTTCATTCTATTGTGCTTAGGGTGGCTACAAGTAATAATATACTTGATAGCATCTAATAACAACATAGGGAAGACCAGTTAATATGTACGTTATTAAAATTTACACATCAGCTACTATTTCCAGAGATGAAGAAATTGAAAAAAATCACCAACTTCTGCAGTTCAAAATTGGTCAAATGTATTGGTGATAGGAATGTGAAAGAAGCAATGAAAGAAAAGGTTCTGACACACTACCATAAAATTTACTCCACTCATAAGAACTATGTATGACAGAGCAGAAACACTCCTGATGCTTCTTGACACTGTAAATGTTTACAGTAGTCAGCCTCATTTTTTATATATATGTATATTTTATTTTTATTTTTTCCTTCTGGGAGCAGCTTGTGAGTTTGAGCCACTGAAATTGTTTTAAGCAACCTAATGAATAGTTGAAAAATATGAACATACGATAGAATAGATACCAGAAGTCACATGGTTGAATTTTGTAAGATCAATGATGTTTTCATTACAAATACATATTTTCAGCCACATAATCATCAGTTAAACACATGGACCTTGACAGATGGAATACAAAGGAGTTAATTCTACTACATCAGTAGAAATAGGGCGTGGAGAAGGTCAACAACATCCACCAGAACAAGATCAGTGGCCAAAAGCAAAAAATACCATTAATACTCATATGTAAGCTCAAGAAGAAGGTAAAGAAATGTAAAACAAGTTCATAAGAGTGAAAGTACAACTTTGAAGCATATACCACCTAAATTCAGAGACTACCTCAAGAACAAATTTGATGCACTGAACACTAATGGCTAAAGACTAGACTAGTTGTGTGACGACACAAGGATATCATACAAGAAGAAAGCAAAGAATAATTTAAAAGACCGTGTGTTAATGGGCCAGACTGCTAAGCCTTTTGAACTGTAAGTTCGGCGGTTCCAGCTCACCAGCCACTCCTAGGAAACCCTATACAGGGTTGCTATGGGTTAGAACCAACTCGATGGCACTCTTTGGGTTAATGCGCTGGACTGCAAAGTCAGTTTGAACCACAAGGTCAGCAGTTCAAACACACCAGTCACTCCTTGGAAACCCGATACAGGGTTGCTGTGGGTGGGAACAGACTCAAAGACTTAATAACAACAACAACAATGGACAAAATATTTAACAATGCAGGAAACACCAAAAGAAAATGCAAGGAATACATAGTCACTGTTCTAAAAATAATTAGATGATGCTAGCTCTGGTAGCGTAGTGGTCACGAATCAGGCTGCAAACCTTAAGGCCACCAGTTTGAAACTACCAGCTGCTCCGCGGGGGAAAGATGAGGCGTTCTGCTCCCATAAAGATTTATAGCCTCGGAAACCCTGTACAGGGTAGCTATGGGTAGGAACCGACTCGATGGCACAAAACAACAACAACAACAAGCAGTGTGTGAGATAGCATATGATAAAGAACTGATGGTATTGATTGAAAAGTCCAGGCTTCATTGATGGCATTGGCAAAAAAACAACAACAAAGAAACAAACAAGGGTGAGGGAATTAAAAGATACCAACTGAAATATTTAAGCAAATAGATCCAATGCTGGACATTCTTACTCAGCTATGTCATGAAATTGAAAAGATAGCTAGCCTGGCAAACTGACTGGGAAATATCAATATTTGTGCTAACATATTCGGAAGGAGTAGTCGTTGGAGAAGGATATCATATTTGGTAAGGTGGAGGGTCAGAGAAAAAGAGGAAGATCCCCAACGAGATGGATTGGCCAAGTGGCAGCATCGATGGACTCGTGTGACAACAATTGTGAGATTGGCCCAGGATCAGGCACTGTTACGTTCTGCTGTGCATAAGGTCGCTATGGGTTGGTACTGACTCGATGGCACTTAAGAACAACAACATTCAAAAGAAAGGTGATCCAATATTATGGGAAATTAGTTAATATCAAATGTAAGTAAATTTTACAGAAGATAATTGAAAAACTGTTGCAGCAATACTTCCACAGGGAACTGACAGAAATTAAGGTCAGATTCAGAAGAGATATGGAAGAATATATATAACTGCTGATGTCAAATGGATCTTGATCAAAAACACAAAATACAAAACAGATGTTTACCTGTCTACATTTACATGTTTACATTGACCACACAAAGGCATTCCAGTGAGTGGGCATAACTATTTATGGATAGTGAAGGAAAGTTCTATAACACTTAATTGTGCACATCAGAACTAATGCATGGATCAAAAGGCAGGTATACCAACAGAACAAGGGTTACTGTTTTATTTAAAATCAGGAAATATGTGTCCAAACTTTATAGCCTTTTATCATATTTATTCAAAATGTATGCAGAGCAAACAATCTGAGCAGCAAGACTATATAAAGAAGAATGCATTAGGATTAGAGGAAAACATATTAACAACTTGCAATATATACATTATACAACTTTGCTAGCTGAAGCAAAAATGTCTTAAAGCCCTTATTGACGAAGTTCAAAGACTTCTAGCCTCTAGTTTTAATTATACCTAAAAAAAAAAAAAAAAAAAACCTTACAAATGGACCAATAAGAAAATAATGATTAACAGATAAAACTTTGAAGCATCAAGGATTTTTAACACCAATGGAAGCAGCAGAAAGAAAATCAACTTAGTTAAGGAGACTTAAAAGTCTGAATTCAGAGTGTCATCTATGGAGAAAAGTCCTTGTCTATTTTCAGCATCTTTAGATCCAGCATTCCATGGATCTCCATGTCTTGAAATCAATCTTTCACTGGATCTAGGAACTTCATAATGTCCTGGTGAGGTACTTTAGGATAAGCACTGACCTGTTAACTGCAAGGTAGGCAGTTCAAACACTTCAGTTTCTACTTGAAAATTTGAGATTTCTTTCAACCTCTTCAGATTCAAATTGATTAAACATGCAATCAAGATGCTTAAATAATTATTGGTGATTGGAATGTGAAAGGTGGAAACAAAGAGGAAAGATCAGTAGTTGAAAAATATGGCCTTGGTGTTAGAAATGATGCTGGAGATCTCGGGATAGAGTTTCACAAGACCTATTACTTATTCATTGTATATACTTTTTTCGATAACATACAAGACAATTATGCACCTGGTCCTCTCCAGTTGGAATAATACAGGAAATAAATTGACTACATTTGTGGGAAAAAACAACGGAGAATCTCAATATCATCAGTCAAAACAAGGCCAAAGACAGAGTTTGGAACAGACATTAATTGCTCAATAACAAGTGCAGTCTGAAGCTGAAGAAAATTAAAACAAATCCATGAAAACCAAAGATGGCCTTTAGTAAACCCTGCCTAAATTTAAAGACCATCTCAAGAAGAGAGCAGATCAGTAGGCACTTATTAGAGCAGACCAGAAGAGTTGTGGAATAACATCAAAAGCATCATGAAAGAAGTAAGCAAAGGGCCATTAAACAGATAGGAAAGAAAGAAAAGAGTAGATATAAGAAGAAACTCAGAAAGTTGATCTTGAGCACAGAGAAGCTAAAGCAACTGGAAAAGATGATGAAGTAAAAGAGATGAACAGAATATTTAAAAAGGAGGCTAAAGAAGACAAGGTAAGTTATTATGAGGAATTGTGTAAAGGCC